AATTCTAATTAAATAAAACGTATTCTAACCTTCCAAAAATCTTTACGTGTACAAATAGGAAAAATGACGTAAGTTTTTTTTTGCCGTTAACAATAGAATTTAAAAAAAACCCAGACGACATGCATTTAACGGATGTCAGAATTCGTTGAAAAACACATCCCTACCCTACCTAAACATAACCCCTTTTTCGAACGTAACTAATAACTGATACAACAAAAGTTAATGAAAATGAACAAGCTACCACTCCTTGTCTGAATGATTGGAACTCTCTGTATCCTTGGAAACAGTGAATTATGAATTTTTCTGTGCCTTTAAAACTCAGTAAATTTAAAAAATAAGTTACTCCAAAATTCGCTTAAGGATGAAATGGAACTAATGTTTTTAATTTAGTTACAAAATTAAATTCGAAGTTTTTAGCTTCCATCTTTGAAACATGGTTATTACTGTGTAGCGAAAGAAAACATATTTTAAATCAGTTAATTTATAATATTAATGCTCTGTAAATTTACACTGAGCACCATTTTGTAAAAATAAAAATATCAATAAGAACACTGGATTATATATCTTACTGTTCTTTCCTTTATATATATATATATATATATATATATATATATATATATATATATATATATATATATATAAAATAGTCATCCGCAGTCAGACTGTTTCGCTGTATCAAAGCTCCTCGGTGTGATAGACGTCCGATTGTCTTCAAGCCAGGATCGAAACCGGACTGATGTCAAATCTAACTCTAGGCCACCGTCGCACGGCAGAAAGGAAGGGAATTTTAACGTTTTTCTCTATACAAAATACGCCAGCGACTCGGAAACTCAATTCATACTTGAAGAGTAATGCAGTAGGAGTATATATATCATGTAGAGAGAGATATTGGGAGACAGTCATTTAATAAGCCGGTTGATAAAAAGTCAACAAAATGATAACACTATTGACAATAAGATGATGATATTTATTCACACTATTCATATTATTCGGACTACTGTCCTCATCTTTGTTGCTATATTTATCACAACCTTTCGACCGTTGCACGCTCCGGCCTTCTTCAGGTGGTTGGAATGTCGAACTGAGACCTTTATTTCGCTCGCTGCTCTAGTTCCACGTGTCATGTCTAATGGATGTCAGTTATCTCCTGTTAATTCCCCTCTCCAAGTTCTTCACTGCCTTAACCAGGTATTGAACTCACACTCTTGTCACTGGATCTAACTAACGTCTCTATCCATGTCCCATGTCTCCTGGAGGACACCTGTGTATGAATTTCTGGGTATTATAAACCTGATGTATTTCATAACCAATTTTACCAGTGCTCATATTGCAATTTTTGATGTTATAATCTATGTTTTTTTACCAGAGCTCATATTGCAATTTTCGTTGTTATTATCGCTTTTCTCTGGCATTCCTTATTACTGGTTCTCATTATTATTGGTATTCCATATTTGTGATAAATATGGCAACAAAGATGAGGACAATAGTCCGAATAATGTAAATAGTGTACATAATACCTCATCTCAGAAATATAGACAGATAATGATATTTGTTATATTTTAGCTTTTGAGTAAACTGAAACACAAAGAAAAAAAATTTAAAGTGGGAATTTTCGGACACGCCCGAGTTCTCTTTCAATCAGACGAGTAATAAACAAAGAAGTGGAACTCACTCTTCCTAGGAATGTTTTTGTTGTTGGTTAGAGGGCTCTCTGTGGAAATTATATTCTTTAAAATCTTCTTTTTTTATTCTTCAATTTAGTCAATAACTATTATCAATCTCATTGCTAATGTTGTTATTTATTGTCTTTTTATTCCTCAAAGCGGCCTATTAAATTTACATCTTATAAATAATTTACAATCTAAAAATATTTTCTGGCTTTAAATATCCTGCAAGGGGTTGATAAACCGTAGAAAACCAATCAACCAATCAACAACCAATTCGAGTCGTGTTCTTTATATTAAATTACGCACAAATACCCTTGGGGAAGATATGAATCAACCTCTTCTCCTCCCAGCTATGGGTTAAATAGCAGGACTTGCATCAGTAAATAATTATTATATTCAAAAATATTTTCTGGCTTTAAATATCCTGCAAAGGGTTGATAAGCCGTAAAAACAAATAAATCAATCTTAAAACGGTTTTTCAGGAGGCGTTAGTTAGTGACAAGAGTGTGAGTTCAATACCTGGTTTGAGATTATGTGGAAAGATGATTATGTCATTATTTTACATTCTAGTTACTTAGACTATTCATTTTATCAGGTCATCCCATAAGTTCTGTCCGAATTTTAACTTTTTGTTAAAACGAACGAAATTTAAAGAGTATTTTATAATGTCTAATGGAGCTGAACATTATTTTTATGTTTAGATGCATTTAAACTGATCAAATTTTATTTCAGAGAACAATAAAATTAAATTTTGTTTGAATAAAACCCTGCTAACATGGAAGTACCCAAGAATCATTTGAATGCTTTATGAGTTCAAGAAAGGAAACTCAGCAGCCGAAGCGGCTAGAAACATTCACTCGGTTTATGGAGAGGAATGTGTGAATGAAAGAACTTGCAGAAGATAGTTTGCAAAATTCAGAGGTGGAGATTTCACCCTTGAAGATGAAGATCGAACCGGACATCTAGTTGAGTTTGATGAAAAGCTTCTTGAAGCAGCCCTTGAAGAAAATCCTGCTTTATCAGTTGAGGAATTGGCAGTGGTTCTCAGTTCAAACCATAAAACTGTTCATCGTCATCTTCAACAACTTGGAAAAGTTCCCAAACTTGGAAAATGGGTGCCTCATGAATTGTCTGAAAACAACCTCAAATCGCGAGTTGACATCTGCTCTTCTCTCTATTCTCGCCAACTTGTTTCACCTTTTTTGGATAGACTTGTGACTGGCGACGAAAAATGGATCTTTTATTGAAATGTTAAGCGTCATAGCAGTGGCTTGGTAAAGAGGAAGGACCTCAGCCACAGCCGAGAAGGGAACTTCATGGGCAAAAGGTTCTTCTTTCAATCTGGTGGGATCGCCAAGGAATAATTCACTTTGAATACTTACCACCTAATGCAACAATTAATTCTCAAATATACTGTCAGCAATTAGAGCGTTTGAACCAATCTTTGAGGAAAAAAAGACCTGCTCTAGTGAATCGAAAAGAGGTTATGTTTCATCAGGACAATGAAAGACCTCACAAAGCAAGAATCACGTCACAAAAGATAGAAGAACTAGGTTGGGAGAAAATTCGAATCAAAGCCAAAAGAATTTTACAGTAATGGAATTAGTAAGCTTGTTAATAGATGGAAGGAAGTCATAGATAATCAGGGAAAATACATTGTTGATTGAATCTGTAATTAAATGTAACTTGTTTTCTTTATTCAAAATTCGGACAGAACTTATGGGATGACCTGTGTTATACTGGAACATACCTATTCTATTGTTAATAGACTCTCCCACCTATAATAAGTAGGAGTAGTAGCAATCGCCAGGGGGCTCAGTAAGTTGGTGAGTCAGTCGATGTCAGACATTAAAGTATCAGCCACCACAACTAGATTGCTGCGTCATTAACTATCATATCAAGTTCCTAACGTTTTGTACGTCGAACCTATTTTAGGACCGTCTTAGTGAAATACAAGCCTCCACTGTGAAAACTACTCTATAACAACCTGAAAGTTGTTGGTGCTGTTGAAAGTAAGTGGTGTGTTTTTTCTTATTTGGTAAAGTTCCTTTGTGAATCTGTAGCGCAAGTCTATAAGATCTGATGGAGCAATGTCGCCTTTAAGATCAAGACGATTCATTTGTTCGAAGCAATTTTTAATCTATCTGTTGTACATCGTTGTTAGTTTAGACATTTCTGAACGAGTTATATGACGTCTATATGAAAGTAAATAGGTTCACCTATCGTCCGCTTCACAAATCTCTCCGGTGTTTTGAACAGGAGTAGGGGTTTATACTTTGCTTCGGGGTTAGGACTGGGTTTCTGGCTTCTTCTAAAGTCTACTTCAACTCTACTTCTGACATCTCCGCCTAAAATCTGAACCTTTATTTATTATTTATTTGTTTTTTTTTTATATATAAGCTTGCCTGTCGTCCATTTCTCAATCCTCCTCGGATTTTTTGGAACAGGAATATCCCTTGGACTGGGTTTCCGATTTATTCTAAAGACTACCTCAACTCTACTTCTGACGTCTCCGCCTAAACTCTGAATCTTTATTATTTTTTTTTCTTTCAATAGGACTAGATAGGTTCGCTTATCGTTCGGTTCACACTCCTCCCCAGTCTTTTGAACTGGAGTAGAGTTTTATTGCTTGTTTCCTGTTTAGGGTTGGGTTCATGGTTCCTTCTAAAGTGTCCTCATTCTCTTTCACTCACAGTAGGCCCTTGCGTCTTAGTGGCATTATCACCTTGCTTGAGGTGAATTGATTAAAAAAAAGTTTCTATCTGACGAAGCTATTTAATAACATAACTCAAGTTCTTATGTTAATATTTTGGTTTTGCAGCATCTTGTGGTGTTGGGGAAAACTACACCTAGCGTAACTCATGCTGTGTTCAATGTCCTTTTCTTTTATATTAAATTTGTTATAACTGATGCAAACACTGACGTATTTGAATTGTTTAAACTGCCCAACCTCTTTTAATTGACACTTCGTGGTTCGGCAATACCCATGGTCCAGTACATTTTTTAATCAGTCCTCATTAGTCCCTTCTTGCTTTAATTTTTTTTACAGTTTTAAAATTATCCCCCCCCCTAAGACGTAATAACGAAAGCAAATGCCAGAGATAAAGTTCGGTGGGGCATAGGAAATGCATTTCGCGCTTATTATTTTACAATAAGTCACCCGTCGACGACATTATTGGTCAGCTGTTGTAACAGGACATACGATAAATACACATCAATGCGGCACCCTACACGCAAGCTGCTGGTGACTCGCTGGCGGGCCGCGGTGGGCCTCTAGCGGTCCGCCAGTGGTAACAATGCTAAGAGGAACACGCCGACGAAGAATACGAAAACAAAGATTAAGAAGAAAGAAAGAGATGAAGAAGAAGAAGAAGAAGAAGAAGAAGAAGAAGAAGAAGAAGAAGAAGAAGAAGAAGAAAACAAATGCAAAGAAGAAGTATAAAGTTGATGAAGAATACGAAAACAAAGACTAAGAAGAAAGAGAAGAAGAAGAAAGAAGAAGTAGAAGACGGAGAAGAATACGCAAACAAAGACTAAGAAGAAGGAAGAGACGAAGACGAAGAAGAAGAAACAGAAGAAAACAAAGAAGAAGAAGAGGAAGAAGAAGTAGACGAAGACTAAGAAGTAGAAGAAGAAGAATACGCAAACAAAGACGAAGAAGAAGATGACGAAAACAAAGGCGAAGAAGAAGAAGAAGAAGACAAAGAAGAAGAAGTAGAAGACGAAAAATACAAAAACAAAGACTAAAAAGAAAAGAAGAAAAACGAAAAAGTAGAAGACGACGAAGAATACGAACGCGAAGAAGGAGACGAAGACGAAGAAGAAGAAGAATACGAAAACAAAGAAGAAGAAGAAGAAGAAGAAGAAGAATGGATAAATATTGAACAATTGGAAGAGATGGGAACAGATAGAAGAAGAAGAAGAAGAAGAAGAAGAAAAAGAAGAAGAAGAAGAAGAAGAAAGGGACGAAGACTAAGAAGTAGAAAAATACGGAAACAAAGAAGAAGAAAGAGACGAAGACGAAAAAGAAGAAGAAAAAGAACAACAACAAAAATAATAATTACTAAAGCAGTGTAAAAATGTTTGCATTCAAATTTCTAGGCAACATTCACCCGGCGTAGACAGGTGTTTCAACTAGTTTATGCTCGCCTATTTAAATTTGGAATTTTGATGGGTAGAATATTTCAGTTGTTTATATATTCATCAATTTTGGCTGTATGAGGAAATATTTCACCGGAAAAAGCTCACTGCAATAAAAATAATTGATCACATTACTGATACTTTTATGGTTAAAGTTAAAACAGATTGTCTATTAACATTTCATGAAATAAAAAAAAGGTACCCTCAAAGTAAACAGTGAAATTTGATACGTCTTGAAAATAAATTGAATCATTGCATTAAAGTAGTAAAGTGATCTTTTATTTATTTTTCCGGTTAGTTTTGTTTGGTTACCAAGTGTGTATGTGTATACTTATAAGATATATAATAGTATCTATCTATCTATCTATCTATCTATCTATATATATATATATATATATATATATATAAGATGTAGATAAATAAGTATAAATATATATAAGATGTAGATAAATAGATGCAGAAATAGATGTGGAAAGATATATATATATATATATATATATGTATGCATATATATATATATATATATATATATATGTGTATATATATATATATATATGTATACATATATAAGTGTATATATATATATATATATATATATATATATATATATATATATATATATATGTATGTATGTATGTATAAATATGTGCAGGTATGCAGAAAATAGAAAAGAACACGTTAGGTATAATCCAGGGTTCCTTAGTATTTTTGGTTTATTTTTAAGAAGACAGTGCTCCATACAGAAGTAGAGGTTTATTATAATAATATTTTTGATTAAAAATATGATTCCTTCGCTACATAAGAGTTGTCATGTTAAGTTTTAGTGCAAAGAAATCTGTCCTCATCCATAATGGGGACCAATGGATTAAAAACACCAATGACAACTTTGACATCACCATGGGATCTCTAGACTCTGCAGAATCTTCGGGCCTTGTCGGTCTATTTATACTGTACAATCTAACCGCCCACCGTGAACTAGACATTGGGGACATCGGGCTATACAGAGATGACGGGCTCATGGTAGTGAGGAGCTCCACAAACTTTAAAACAGAGAAAATTATAAAGATAATTTATAAAGAATTCGGGAAACTAAATTTAAAAACAATAGTCAACACTAAATTAAAAAGAGTAAACTTCCTAGACGTAACCCTAGACTTAACAAACAACGTTCACCTACCTTACAGAAAACCTAATACTAATCCCCTGTATGTACACCTTAAGTCAAACCACCCTCCATCTATAATTAAGCATATACCCACATCAATAGAGAAAAGAATAAGTATGAACTCAGCAAATAAGGAATTATTCCGACAACACAGTAGTTTTTATAACACAGCCCTGAAAAATAGCGGATACAAAAACGCTGACATAACCTATAGAAACGATAGTACCAATTATAAGAAAAACAGGAAAAGAAAGATCATCTGGTATACCCCTCCGTACTACCAACTGGTCAGTACTAAACTAGGCCATAAGTTCCTAGCTTTAATTGAAAAGCACTTCCCCACTAATAGCAAACTTAGCGAGATCTTTAACAAAAACACCTTGAAATTGAGTTACAGCTGCACTGAAAATATAGAAAGAATCATAAAAAGACATAAGAAAATCCTAGAAAAACACGTAAACCAAAACAGTAATAAAACACAAACTAAAATTGGATAAAAGTAACGAAAAATTATGTGATTGTAGAACCCCGAAAAAATTGCCCGTTGGAAAATAAATGCCTCACAAAATCTGTGGTATACCAATGCACTATTTCATCCATTGAGAGTCCTAACACTGATACATAGGCTCAACGAAGAATAATTTTAAAATTAGATGGAGGCAACACAAGAGCTCCTTCAACAATATTCAAAATAGAAATCAGACATCTCTATCCCAATATTTCTGGCATCTAAAAGAAACGAATAAAACACCAAAAGTAAAATGGAAAATAGTAAATAAAACAAGAACTTGTAAAACCTGGGATGACCCATGCCCTTTATGCCTACAGGAAAAACTACACATCATTAAATTCCTAAATAATGAAAAATTATTAAACCATAGGCAGGAGTTAACGGTTTTCTGTCGGCATCAATAAACTTTCGCATTAAGTAATTAGCATAAAAAAATCCCATAGCTAAATAAAAGTCTTAAAAGCTTAACCAAATCTTTAATAGGAAAAACCCTTTTTGTAGTCGTCAAAAAACAAAAATAACAAACTAAAATTCAGTGCAATACGATTTGTATATAAAACCCCCACTTGAATAAACAAATAAATAAATAGATAATCAGATGGACAATAATAAAAGACAATTCTCCAGACACATAACGACTTGTAGGCGCGCCATAAAAATATCCCTCACTGGGAACCAACTAAAGGGTGACCGCTAACATTAGCCTTGAAATAGATACCCTACGCAACCTTAACAAAACCTCTCAGAAGATGATGAATCTATTGATAAGAATTAACTTTCTGACCACTTAACGAAGGAAAATAGTCTAGCCACTCCCACAATAACGAATTTTGTAACGGACCACGCTTAAAAACACACGTAAACCGAATAATAGCTTATTCCTAAAATTTCGCTTGAAGATGAAACGGGACTAAACACTACAATTCAACTTAATTTTAATAATTATTTGGATGATTTCGGCTCTCGTTTTTGAAACATGAGAACACTTATGTAGCGAAGGAATCATATTTTTAATCAAAAAATAGTATTATATATATATATATATATATATATATATATATATATATATTTCCACATCTATCTATTTCTGCATCTATTTATCTACGTCTTTCCACATCGAGCTAGCCAAATTTCTTTACAACTATCTCTTTCCAGATTTATCTATCTATCTATCTATCTATCTATCTATCTATCTATCTCTTTCCACATCGAGCTATCTAAATTTCACTTCATCTGTTTCTTTCCACATCTATCTCTTTCTACATCTATCTATCTATCTCTTTCCATATCGAGCTATCTAAATTTCACTTCATCTGTTTCTTTCCACATCTATCTCTTTCTACATCTATCTATCTATCTATCTCACGTCTATTTTCACATCTATCTATCTATCTATCTATCTATCTATCTCTGCATTTATTTACATACGTCTTTACACATTGATCTATCTATCTATCTATCTATCTATCTATCTATCTATCTACACCTTTCTTCATCTATCTATATTATATTGTACTCACAGACATATGAACTCTTTTAGCTACGATCGAAATGTTCATCGTAGGCGTTGCCTCAGATCAGTTTACATCACTAACTTTAAATGTATAGTATTAACATTTATGTGAAATTTAAAAGTTGACGACTGGCCACTGGTAAGATCGTTAAAGGAACTATAAAGAAACAATAACATCCTACGCAGTTAAAGTAGTGGGGTACAAGCAAAAAGTATTGATTTGTTTATTTGCTTGTTTAACGGCATATCAAAACCTTATGGGTCACTTAATGATGAAATTTAATTTTTTGGAAGCATTAGTAATTTCGTTTACAAAAATGTATTGACAGACATGTATTGCTGGTACTGTTAGTATTGTTATAGTATACCTACGGACGATAATGGGTATGTCCCGATTCACATAAATACAGTAGTAAATACTGTATGTTGGTCTGCAGCTGGAGATTCGTCTTCAGCTGTGCTGGTCAAACTCTCTGCCTCCGGGCAGAGAGGATCCCCAGACAAGGCTAAGTTGAAGGGCAGAGTCTCGTCTCGGGAAACAGCTACCGGGCCCCATTTTATACGGGGTCTACGGGGAATTTTTGGCCGAGCCTATAGGCTCGGATAGCGCACATTAATTTCGGCCTTGAGCCACATCTGCCCGCGTTAGTATTTTTTTCTTATGATGTACTGTACCTCATTCGAAGTAGATTGTCAATGACTATTCTAGATTGACCCTTCAGCTTCCAATCTAATACTCTACCCATTAGTACTTTGTTTCACCAGAGTTTTAAAACCTTTTAAACTACTATTTCTCATTTTATGTGGTAATGGCTGCTTATAGCCATTGTCGTTGTGTCTGTATCCTTTTGAAACCAAATGTTTCAGGTGATGCTTCAATCAAGACAGCAAATCAATAAAGATGACATCTTGACAAGAAATTTCAAAGCCTTGAAAGCCTTGTCAACTTGCAACTATTTAAGATACGCAATCTTTGCTCTTTACCAATTTGTGCTTCAGCTGAGATAAATAAAATGTATTTTCTTACTTATAAATAAACGTATTTGCTTCCTCTACCCTATCTTGAAATAAAACCTGAAATAAAAAGAGCTGTTAGAATGTGGATGACATGAAGTCATGCTTAGGGTGATTCCCTGACAGAACCATTAGCCTGTCAAATTTACAGAAGACGTTGGTTCCCAAACTAATGGCAATGACCCAAATACTGCAAACATTAATTTTGTCAAATCGTAAGATGCCAATCTCATCAGACAGCTCGAAAGTATTTAATGTGGGTTTCTTGAAAATGCCGAGCGCGTAATATTTGTTAGTTTGGATACTTAATTACTCCGACATTTATTCTTTCAATTATCGTTGTTCATTTTCGAGAAAAGACGATATAAATCTGAGAGATAGTCAGTGTAGCGTTCATTTTCTTAACGGCTCAAAGTTTGAAATGGACATGGATTCACATCATATGTCTGTGGAGTAGATATCAGAGTCATGTAGCTAAAAAGACCTTACAATTTAAGGCATTCTAATTTGTGTGCGCCAAAAATGAAATAGTTTATCCGATAGGTTGGCGCCGTTTTATGTAAGGGGCTTGTAAAATCTTTAACCGTTTTTTTTTCTTTTTTCTTTTTTTTTTTTTTTTGGCAGAATATTTTTTGTAAGTAGCGACTAATGCGACTAATTTGTATTATGTTTACACAGAGTGCTTTCTTCCGAGAGATGACATGTTTGTTAGTTCCAAATTCTGGGAATGTCTGCTAAAAGTATCCCTCCCCAAATTTATACATA